CCCCCTGCGCTCGGTCCGGGAAATGGACGTTCGGGGCGAGGGCCAGGGGGTCTCTCTTTTAAATGATGCACCCATGTACCCCTTTCTCGGCCTTTGAGATGATAGAGACATATTTTTGTTTCTCTATATATCTCGATCTACAAGATCATCATTTGGCATTGGACCATGTACCTGTAGCAGATGATATTGTAGATGATCACTGGATGTGATGCTGATAGAACCGCTGGGACAGCTGAGTTTGGATATCTTTCGGCCCTGTTCTGAAAAAGGAGAGGTTCCTGACCTCGGGATGTTTAAAGGCCCCTTTGGCTTGAGACTACACTTGGTCTTTTGTGTAGCAAGTGCATCCCTACTAAATATATATATATATAGGTGCATTACTACTAGTAGCTAGAAGCTAATTGGGTTATCACCGCGGACCACGTCACAGCGGAGGAGCCCATCCGTCCACGGCAAATCTGAGCGACCGTGGCTTGGACTCCACGAGTCGAAAAGACCTTCGCCGAAGGTCAGAGCGGCAGCTTGGCTTGGACATCGATCAAGAGATGCCGCGGGTACGCGGGGCGTGAACAACGGAGTGAGGAAGATTCATTCTCCAATCGATTTCACTTCGAATTCAGAAAGCAAAGAAAGTGTCAATTGCTTTCAACCCATTGTTGACACCAAGCTGCTTGCTTGGCCACCTTTACCTGAAATTCTAGCAGTTTCTGTCATTTCGATTGCAATCGCCTTCAGCTCGACAAGCGCAAGCCAACCACTTCACTCAACGAGCACCCCATGCTACGCTCTTCGTCTAAAAGGCAAGCCAGTGCTGCACACCGCAGAAATCCACGCACAAAGGAGTCTCAGCTCACACACTCCGAGGAAAAGTATGATTGGAAGTGGAGTTCAGTTCACCATAACCCAGACGCTCCATGTATGCCTCATATATGCCACCCCATTGGGCTGGTTGACTGGGGGTCTGGCTGGGGCGGCAGTCCTATGGCAGTCCCATGTGTCATGTTGGGTCAATAGTGTTCACCACCACCTGTGTGTCGATTTCATGGATCATCAGGGCCATGTGGCCCATTCCACGAGAGAACATGCTTCCAGCTAGAGTGGTTGCGTTGGTCCAAAACCAGCATCACGAAGTCCGGGTGTTCATGAATAGCCCCGAACAGGGTTCAAGGGGTGTATCATGAACTGCTTCTTGGGGGTCCTGGAATATAATACTATTATTTGCTGCCATGGTTTTGACCCCATCCGGCTCAAGCATTTTTTTGGGTAGTGTCACTTGCGGTGGAACACTCAGGCGGCCCATGGGTGCGGGAGAGGATGATCAAAGCTCCTAGTAGCATCCTTGCTCCTAGTAGCAATGCCCTTTGCTCCTAGTAGCGTCCTCTACCCCGCAGTAGATTTCGACCCAGTGCATGGGAGTCACCAAATGACATTGACGGTCCGTAGAATGTCTGAACATGGACGTGTGCGCCAAAACCCACGAACGGTTCGGACAGGAACATGATCCGATTGTCCAACTTCTCAGGGTCCATCTGACCAATTCTCAGGGTCCATGTGACCATCTGCGGGGGGGGTGAAGATGTTGTTCCCTGAGGTCATCAGGACGGAGAAGCGGATCGACAGTTCGACGCCACGAGCTGCCGAACAGACCGACTCATCGTCGCATCGTCTCTTCAACCTCCCTTGACATGAGCATCGTCAAGGCTGTAACATGTGACATACGGCCATTAGCAATGCTTAGACATTTTGACCACTGCTCACAACACATTGAAGGGGATGGTATTGGTATGTGCCCCATGACCCCCCCTGCTGGAAAGCAACTTGACCGCCTGAACGTACCCCTACTGTAAACAACCGTCGAGTATCGGTTGGGTCATGTAATCTTTCAGATATAGTTACTTTCAACCTGTTCTTGATCGAACGCTCTGACTCATATTGTTTGTTCAAGTGAGTTGAAATCAAGAAGAAAAACACTCAAATTCACCATTCAAACATCCACGGACATCGGACATCCTCGTGTAGAACTGGACATCCTCGTCCCCAACGACCGACTCAACGCCATGCCACTCCGCTGCGCAGCCAGGGCCATGTGCGTGTCCGAGGAGCGCTGGAGCGAACGCAGGACGGTGACTGGCTCGACTCGACTCGATACAAACCGGATCCTTGGACCGAAGGGGTGTTAACCCTTTATAACAAGGGTTTGTACCCTCAAAACCCTCATACCACCCTTGTTTTGTTTCGGGTGCGGATCCTCTCTATCCAAGCGGCAGTGCTTCTTTGGTTGTGATCAGTCTGCCAATGGGACCGATGTGTTGACGCTTCGGACCGATGCTTTGAGTGATGTTTTCAGAGCAATCCAGCAAAAGGAAGAGTGACACTTGGAAGAGTTGGTTGAAGCCAACTCACGGAAAAATGGCTGTTGCATCTCATAGAACTCTCTCATCTTGGCGGTTTCACGCATGTTGGGAGGAAAAACATGGGCCAACTGTCCCTATACCAGCTTTAAAAAGAAACCTGATGATCAATATGTTCCATCGAATAACCGCCTGAGATGGGTGGTGCTGGTATATAGTATGATGATCGCCGATCTGGAAAAGATCGGTCATGAAGGCCACAAGTCCTCAGGTTGTATGAAGAACCGCCAATTTCCTGTGGTTGGTAGCGGAAAGCGCTTTTCCATGACACTAGGGGCTCCAAGTACTCTGTGAGAAGGTGGGATTGGGGTGGGTTTGAAGGGTCCAAATACCATTTGAGGAAGTATACTTGGAGCCCTAGGCTGGGTAAACTTCAGATTGTATGCGAGTTTTGGTCGGAGCATGCTACTTGTGCAAGTGAGAATTATCACGCGACATGTGTACGGAACATGGATGTATCAACTTGTTTGTTGGAAACTCAAGCGGCGTCCGTGACAAGTCCATTGTGTGGAAAGCCCTCGCACCACAAACAAACGCCTTCGTGGCACAGAGTTTGCCGGCTGTGTTCGATTCAAGCATTCTGTGCGGGTTCCAAGTCCTGGTTCCGAATGCATTTGGAGGTCCCGGGTGCCGAAGATGGTCTAAAGCATTCCCAGACATGCCCGACAAACACGACACGCGACCGATCGGTTGGGGTGGTTGACCCGGGGGGTCAATGTAGACACGGAGTGGTTGGGATTGATTGGTTGATTCAGCCTTCTCCAGGGCATCCTGGAACAGGTGTGTAACAGTCGGCCAGACCCAAATGAGGTGCCATTTGCTTTGGAGCAGGACCGACCAAAAGTTCGTCCGACGAGGAAGCGCACCAGACAATTTTCAGAAGAACCATCCAGAATCAAATCCCAAGCGGAGACGCTTGGAGACATGGCGATGGAGTGTTAAACCCGTGCAACTCTCTAACGGCGCTCCCCTTCCCGCACAGGACCCAGCGGGCAGCGGCCGCAGCCCTGGGAATGGATCGGTTTTGTGTAGTAAGAATTTGGGATGACAGCATCACACTTTCCAGTGGTTTGGTGGATTTGTTGAAGCATGTCATACCAATTCATATACCCCTGAAAACAAAGTGACTCACCAACATGGAGGTGGAACACAGAGAAAATTGCCATGTACACCCCACGACACCGAGTAGAACCTATGAAGGCTTGCGAGCCTGCCACCCAACAGCCTCAAACAGCCTGGCTCATCGATGGGCGGTTTAGGTGATTCAGATCTTCACAGGGGTTGGCGGTTTCAAGGAAAGAGGACACGAATTGGGCGGCGTCACCACAGAATCCCAGGGTGGCTCACCGAATGGATCCCGATAGGTGAGCGATGGAACGATGGCATGGAACATATAGGTTTTACTATTTTGCATCTAGCTATCCAGACCCCAAATCAATCCACAAAGCCCGCGCAAAAGGTGTCTTTTTTTGGTGGGCAGATGGGTTTGGAGGGGCGAACTATCTTCTGAGAGAGCTGGATTCATGTTGTATACATATAATACATATAGTTATACCCGCTGCCCTATTTTGGGCGTTTGTAGCCTGGTGCTAACTGGTTTACAATCACTCGAGGGGTCAGTAGCTGGGGCGATGCGATCAGGCGATTCGACCTTCAAAGAGGTCGGGCCAGAGATGAACAGCCCATAAAATACATGGACCAATGGAGTCAGTATACCACATGTTTTTGTGCACCCTTCCCTGATCCCAAAGAGTTGATGAAGCACACCACACGGAAAAACTAAAAAAACACACTCAGGATCTCCCAGGGCTTAAGTATGAATAAGTTACATACAGGTACCCCATGCAATTGAGACTCATGCTCATGTAAATAGAGTCTTTGGGTCAACAGGATCCCAATTTGCTTGGTCCAAACGCCAAGGAGCTGCCGCTTCCACCGCTCGATGCTCGACGCTTTAGGCCACGGGTGCGTTGAAGGGCCCATTGAAGGGCCCACAGCAGAGTGTCCAGCTGAGGAGGGGCAGTCATATTCCCAATACCGATCATCCAGAAGTTCATGAGATGATGGGTGGTTCCAAGCTTCAGTGGTTTTGTGAACAAACGGATCCTAAACCCAGGATCTCTCACAACCAGCAAGCAAAGGGCATCGCTACGAACGGAGCGAGGACGCTACGATCGGGGCTCCTCGCTAGAAGGAAAGACATCCTGCAGCAGGTGAACATCTCCAACTGCTTGCATTGCAACAGGTTTCCTTTGTCGTGCTGTAAAACAAGCTGGATTGGCAAACTGATTGGTCACTCACTCACTGGGCCGGAAGAATAGGCAAACAACAGAGGAAAGAAAAATACAACTAATAGCAATGGTCTCCAACCTAATAGCGATGGCCTCCAACCCAACAGCAATGGCCTCCAACCTAATAGCAATGGCCTGCAACCTAATAGCGATGGCCTCCAACCTAATAGCGATGGCCTCCAACCTAATAGCAATGGCCTCCAACCTAATAGCAATGGCCTCCAACCTAAAAGCAATGGCCTCCAACCTATTAGCAATGGCCTCCAACA